AATAAATAAAATAAAAGCACACATTGAAGTATTTTTTCAAAACATTGCAGGTCAGAGGTGAAACCTCATCTTAAGAATCCATATTTGGCCATTTTAGACAAACTGTGACAGCTGCTCATGGAATCCTTGAAATTCATTTCTCCATCTACATATATCTTTCCTTTAAAAAGATACTTCAGCCTTTTGTTTTATTTTTGGACAACATGACTCAGAAAGTCAGTCATGAGAACATTTTAACAAAGACCCCAACAATATGTCAGGAATTTACCCTCCAGGTCCCTCCAGTATTCTCGCTCTGACTCTGACCGGAACAATGGACTTCCCTGGACACTCAGCACTCAGAAGCCATCATAGCAAAGATTAGTGTAAATGAGGCACCTTAATTTCTGCTATGTGTGCTCTTGAAATAAAGTGATTAATCAAATTAAGTAATCCCTTAATCCCAAAGAATTTTAAATATAGTTGTTTTATTTAGCTTTTGCAATGTGAACCTACCCCTAACATTGTCAGCTAAAGTTCTCAGGGTTTTCATTAGGCCAGCACGTCCAATGCCCATCCATTATATTGCATCACATTTTTTTATATCTTTATTAAAGAACATTTTACTTTTGCATTAATATTCCAGTAAAGAGACATTATTCTATTAGTGGTTTCCTTCAAATATTTTGATTAAGATAATTTGATGCATTTTTACTGGCCTAAAACAGCTTCCGTCAGTTCTTCTGTGACTTACCAATGTTGACCACTAGAGGGCGGAATATTCTAACTAACAAAATAAATGAAACGGAGTTACATTTTTTAAAAGTTTTAAAAGCTTTCTTTAAAAGTTAAAAGCCTTTTTGGGCTTTATATTTACATTTGTTTGTATTTTCAAAGTTAAAAAAATATATTAGCGATTATCAAAATAAAAAAAATTAAAAGAAATTGAGATGGTGTACTTTTCTGACAGCAAGAGGAAATATTAACTATTAAAGCTGTTTGACTAACACATTTGCAAGGCAGTGATCAACATAACCAGCTTGACTAGTTTGTTACCTTGGTTTGTATGTGTGAGTGCGTGTGTGTGTCCTTTGTTCGCTTGGTAACCTTTGCAGCCAGAAAATATGCTTCACTGCAGCTTTGTAGAATTCCAGAACTATGCAAGGAATGCTGATAAACTTGTGGGCTTTTGGAGGGGCCAGTGTGTCATCATCAGGGTTGGAGGAGGGTGGGGGTGGAGGCAGACAGGGATGAAGTACAGGAAAATGAACGTCAAAAAAGGAAGTTTCATTGGAAAATAGTTCATTAAACTTGATTCATTTCAATTTTGAAGGAGGTTCAAAAATGTGCTCCTTTATAAAGGAGGATGAGCTTAAAAACAACCTCACATGTTGCTTAGGGAACAAAACAAATATCATATAGACAGTGATTACATATTGAAGCTTAGTATATTCACAACTCTTCTTTGCTTTATACTGCTTTATATTACTTCCCTCCCCCTGCATTTAAGAGGAAAGGTACTTTTATTTAATTGCTTTTACAACAGGTGAAAAATTTGGTGTGTGAATATTTCTCTTTTTGAAATGTAAAGGGCATTATTAAAAAAATAGAGCTGAATGAGTAATCTGCAATCATAGAAATTTACCAAAGTCATTTTCCATCAAGTCATCAATGAGTAATAATAGTCTATTAAAAGTATTGCCTTTACTAACAATGTGTCTAAATGTGAATCAAGATCTAAAAAAAAAAAAATAAAACCATTGTGCAAAAACATTTACGTTTACAGGAACTCACTTTGACTATATTTGGTTTGATTTGTATTCCTACTCCAAACTGGATTACTGTATTTTTTTTCAATGAAACTTCTTTAATGTTAATAAGGAAAATAAAAGAAGAGAGTAACCCTCTCTAATTTGTTAAAGGTGATTAAAAATCACACATATTAACATGTTCATAGACTTTGCAACAATGTTCTTTTGTTGTATTTTCTACCATTCTTCTCTGTAGTTCCTCTCAAACTCTGGCAGATTATTTGGACTATCTTGGATTAAAGTCCCAGCTCCAGCAGGTCCACTGAAGCAGATTCTGACGTTGTTCCTGATGCCACTCCTTTGTTACCTCGGTTGGGTGATTGGTGTCACTGTCGTGTTGTTCTCATTAGTCTGCTGTCACAAGTAATGTGCAAATTTTTGCGAAGAATTTTTTAATTTGTGAACTATTTCTGAATTTCTGCTGAAAACATTTCTGTAGCCTAATTCTGGCATTAAAAATTATTTACCTTCTGGTTGGTTCTTATATCTAAACATAGGAATAACAATAGCAATGACTTTTTTGGTCACCTTTCTAGACGGGGGCAACCCTTCTCTGATTACTATGGTTGGTCAGACATCCAGATCTAGGCAGGTGCTGATAATCCCAATATATTTTCCTTCACTGTTGATTTCTCTTGTGTCCCTCTTCAGCTTTGTGCTTTGACACAATGTGATCTTTAAAATCTATTGTTCTCTTTGGTTTGCAGCTCGGTTTCTGCTCTGATTTGCTCTGCCATCTGTGAGTTCTTATGTACGTTTGCACACAATGGCATTCCAGATTCCTGACAGATCGGACTGTGAATCTGTACAGGAAGCTGAAGATTAGGCGGATGACAAGAAAGGCTCCTACCTTTAAAAACTGGAGTTCAGCACCAAAGATAAATCATCAAAATATAAAATAAAACCTCCTGAACTATTTGACAGTGTCATAAGGACTTTCTATAGATTATTTTAATGGGTATAAATTATTTTAAGTAAGGGGTATCAGCATCCATTTTGGAAAATCATGAATTAAAGAATGATACAACAAAAAAAAATTGATTGTTGCATTGGCGGTTCTAGACAGGGGCCAACAGGGGCCATTTCCCCTGCAGAATTGGTCCTGGCCGGCTGTTATAGCTCCTGTACCTAAGACATTTTACTAAATAAATGTATCATTATGATGTACACCGGCACAGATACCATAACTGATTGGTCCCTTCCACCTATTCCCCTTTTTTAAACCTTTACAGTTGTGTTTTAACTATGATTTTTTTTTAATCAGTTTTACTTAAGTTCTAGTTCTGAATCGTTAAAACTTATCATTTTCATTTATAATAAATCAAAAATATATACTATTCCTAAATCATAAAAGTACATTGACATTATATGCCAAAGAACATATTTATCTCACCTTTAATCTTTATTAGAAATATCATAATTTTGTGAAACCCCATACTTCAATTAGGTCCAACTGTATTTATTGACCATAGATACACGACTTATAACTCAAAAAATCTGAAGTGCTCTCCATTTGGTTTTTGCAGTTACAATAAAGTACAATTACTGTGCCCTGCTTTCTAACATGTTGCTCTCCATTGTTTACTTTCCTGATTTCAGTCGCACTGGTGACATCAGTGATAACTCAGCATGATGGTGTCACCCGACACACAGCAGCGGGGGTCAGACCCAGGTTTTTTTGGCAATGGGAAGGGAGCCAAATACCCATTGTTAGCGAGTAAACCCATGTTTTTAAAAACACGCATTTTTCAAGTATTTTTAGTGTGAAAGAAGCTTTATACTGCAAAAATGTAACTATAGTAAGTGATTATTTCTTGAAATAGGTTTATTTTCTTTTGATTTATGCAGAGGTAAGATAATTTACCTATGGGATAAGATGTTTTACATTTAAAAGAAGAAAAAAAGAACACTGTTACATTAATTGAAGTGTATAACATCTAATAATCTTATTTTAAGGAGGAAAAAAATACAAATTCCTTTGGCAGATCAGATGACAAATGGAGTGAAAATCCTATTTTAAGAAATTTATAACCATTTTTATAGTTATTATCTTAATTAAATACTAAATCGATTTCTCATGATGTATGGGCTGAAAGAAGAGACAAAAATTGATTCATTTTTTAATCAATTTAATATTTTACCCTTAAATATTTACTTTGTTATTGTTTAGAAATGACAGTCTTCTGTAAAAAGAGGATCACAGTTTTCATCTGTTAGAGAAGCGGGTTTCGGCCCTGGTTTTTTTTTATTTTTATTTTTTTTTTTTATATATAACATATATTTTTAGTCTGTGCCCCTGGTCCCCGGAAAATTTAGTCTCGAACCGCCATTGGTCACATAAACGCATAAAAATGATTCACTTAAGAATTAGTCGGTATTTCCTCCTTTAAAGAACAGCTTCCCGGTGTCTCCGTCCTCCTAGGGTCGCTGGGTTTGACCCTGCCAGCCTTTCTATTACCTATCGATCACCTCAGAGCCGCGCGAGCGGGCCAATGAGGTCACGTGGGGGCGGTCCGTTGCTAAGGAGGAGGTTTGGTTGAGTCTCCGCGTAGCAGCCATTCAGCGGCGGTGGCTGAAGCGATTGGACTGCGAGGGCTTCTCCGACACTTTTTGTGGAATTTGAATTATTTTGGCACAGCACGACTCGCGGTTCATAGGTGACGACTTCAACCGGACAGCTTGTGGGTCGCAGAGGTAAGTTAGAGGAAGTCCTGCCGGGACTAGCATATATCCTGATGCTTGTGTTAGCTCGCCGAGCTAAGCACCGCTAGCCTCTCTGAATGCGGCGCACGCAGCTACGTTAGCTCCCGATTATAAAGCTTTCAGTTCGCATACTAACTCGAATGTTTGACAAAAAGGAGGAATTTGAACATTTAAATGTGTGTACGGCTCTCTAATTACACAGGAGAGATGTTACTCTGCCTACCTGGGCGGTGAAGGTAGCAGGTTATTCGGTTAGTTATTCTGGTAATCAGCCAACGACTCAAGTTACCTGAATAACTTTGAGGAAAGGAGGGCGAAACTAGTGGACCCATCTAGGACACAATCAAAAAAAATAAAAATAAAAATGCCGTCACGACTTGTTTTCACACACTGTCACACGAATGGCTTGTGTTATGTCATCGTTACAAACGGATTCATTTATTGCGAAGTTTGACAAGGTGTCAGCAGTCTGGCTCGTTCAGGTCGAAGCAAAAAAAAAAAAAAAAAAAAAACAGTCAGGCTGCCTGGTTTTAGTCGTGACTCATAGTCTTAACACGTTGATTTTTTTTAAGTGTAATTGCGTCTCGGATTATTAAATAAAGTACCTTTTTGTGTGACTTGTAGTTTCTAAGTTTTTTTTTCATTCAATGAGATGAGATGACTTTGTGCCTGCTATGAAGGTAAACACAACAGGACATCAATGGTGCTGTTGGGTTTCTCATAGTGATAAGTGTTTAGTAAATGGGATGAGTTAATCCTTTTATAGGGCAAGTTACCATTTTTGATCACTTATATACCCCTTACAAATGGAGTCCCCCTTCCCTCAGTGAGATCTAGAAGCACTAGATTTATATCCAGCCATTCAGCTAGACTCTGCTACATGACTGGACATCTTATTTTGACATTTGACCAATTAAATGAGCCCTTGATTGATATATAACCTACTGTAAATAAGGTTGAAAAGATATTTGACAAGTCAAGAGAAAAGAAAGGTAAAAAGTATATTGAAAATTTAAAAAGTACAGTTAAAAAGTTAATCAGCCTAGTTAACAATTATATTTAGGTTTATAAACTAACAAAGATCTAAGTGCCAGTATCAGCATTAATGCCTCTGAGGTTATGTTGTACAAAAAATGTTTTTCTTTCACTCTCTTTGTTTTTTATGAATTTCTTAAAGAAGCAATTTTGTTATTTTTCTCAATATATTCGGGCAAGTTGGTGTTTCTTGTTATTACATTGACATACATTTTTGCCATCAAAATATCTATATTTTTTGAATGTTACAAAGTTAATAAGATCTTATCCTAGATTTCAATAACACTATTGGCTTGATATTTGGATTTTCAAAGTATTTCACTGAGTGCCCTATAAAGGGTTGAGCATTGTTTATCTTCGTTTGGGGGGGTTCTGGTGTGTTGATATTTGTTTTACTCTCTGATGGATAAACTGTTTTTATAATGAAATACTGTATAATGATCCAAAAAATACTGAGCTGTTTCTCTCTGCATTATTAAAAAGTCAATGAATACAATGAAATGTTTAATGGCAGACGAGGTATCTATAAATAAAAATAAAATGGATGTATATTAGTACATCTGAAAGCAGGATGTGAATGCTGAAAAATCCAGATTCCCAGATTTACACTTGTTTTTTTAGATTAATTATTATTGCAAAAAAAAAGTATTAATAAACTCGTTGATCTCTGCTGAGGGTATGGGTTTGAGTGCCCGTAGTTTTCAAGCATCTTGAAAGTAGCTCATGGTTTAGCTCATCTCAAAGAACGAGGGAGTCATGGTTGGCTGTCTGCCACTAAACCCACTGTCTAAGTATGTCAGCTGTTTGAGGGAGGAGGAGAAGTCTCTGTCCACAGCTCTGTTTCAGTCTGTGAGAGAAACTGATCATTTCTGCTCTGTTCTCTGAAGGAAAGGCTCCTCCTTAGAAGCCAGCTATGCATGTGAATTATGAGAAGTGATGCAATCCAGGTAGATAAACCTGCTCTGGGATGACGCCACATTCACCGTTGCACCTGGTAGCTGGCAGGTTGTTGAACCTCTGGTTGCATGTGTCGAAATCAGCCTAAGTGTTCAGCGCACGGCTGTTTAAATTATCATAGGAGCGAGACCAGAACTGCACTTTTTTTTTCTTTACCTTATAGTCTGGATATTTTTTTTTTCTTTACATGCCAGGTAGTCTGCCGCCCTACATCAGCTGGCCTTCCTGCTTTGTGGGTAAAAGGATTGATGCTGTAAAGATATATGAAACAGCAGGATCTAAAAGTAAAAAAAACCCAGAAATGCTTGACAATGTATACAAGTTAAACAAAAAGGATTGGTTTTTATTTTTATAAGGCTAGTGCTGGGAGACTGGACAGACGTTGTAGTCCACGGCCGCTTTCCAGTCTTGCATCTAAAAGCCCAGCATTGCAGCAGATATCAGCGTCTTTACCTGTGATTAATGGATTTTCTTTGTGGGTTTATGGCAGAAAAGGCTTTTATTTTCCATCATCACCTCCTTCCTACCACTCTCTCTCAGTTTTATGATTTTAGCCACTTAGTTTTACATCCAAAAGGGGGTTTGCATGTAATTAGCAAGCAGGCTCTTAATGCATAGCAGCAGAAATATTCCAGTGAACTGTGACTTCTAAAGGCAGCTTTATTTGTTCTATTTATATGGGGTCAATCATTTTCCTTCCCTTTGCATTTCTAATCTATTTTATGCGGGTTTATAAAATCATGAAATGCAAAAAAAGTTTGCAAGTCAAAGTTTAGCTATGTACCGACTTCAGCGAATTTATTCATTATTACCTGGTTTAAGAAACGCACATCAAAACCCTCTGGCTTGTTTGTTCTTCAACATACTTTACAGCCTAGCCTGTGATTTCTAAAAGAAGGAAAAGATCTAGCTGCTGCCCATGTAGCATTTGAAAACTCCTGAAATGTGGAGCTCCACCATCCCAGCTGGCTGGGACCACGTCCAGCAGAGACACTCTGGCAAGATTCAACCAGAGGGCAGGTTTCAGAGAAGAGATCTCAAATGTGCAGCTGACCCCGTTTCAAAAGACATAGCTGAAAATAGGTTCTCTGGAACAGCTTTAATGCGTCTGGTGATGGGCCCCGTTGTCTCCAGCCTCACAGATGAAAGCCATTCAGAGGTCACAACTCTTTTCTTCACAAACAAGTCTACATAAAGATGTATGTGTTTGTTGGGAGAGCTGGGAACAAACCTAAGTAAACCACTAATCACAGTAACTGATTACTTTGGAGGATTAACAAACATTAACATGCAGATTGAGTAATAAAAAAACTGACAACTTATGTTCAGGAGTTCTGTTTGGCTAGAAGGAAGAATAGTTCTTTCTTCAGGAAACAATTATTACCATCAACCATGGAGAATACAGGAAGACATTAAGGACTGGTTATACTATATGCAGATATTTTTGATTTACGCCCAATTTTGAAGCATGGTCTGCACTGTTATTCCACGCCACAATGCAAGAGGTACAATCATGAACTAGCTGTGGGTCTATATACGGCTGAGGTGGCAAGGAAGTGGAAAACATACAGAGCGGGGATTCAGGTTGTAATGGGTCCCAGTGTTCTCGCACCCCTCGCTCTTCTACCTGGTCCATCTTCACGAGTTGTTTTCCACAACGGTCACAGAAACAAAACAAGCTTGTAAGGTACCAAACAGGAAATATGGATAATGTAGAGTGGATGTAAATTTGATCAATCAGATGCCGGCTGTCTGCGGTCACCTACAATTTTGGAGAGGTGCACCATCTATGGAACAGGCGGGGCATATCTGCGTTAACTGCGACAGACGCAGATGACCTGGTTTCTGAGTATAAATCAGCCTGTACTGTACCGCCCACTAATGAGTAGAGGGTATGCATTGGGTATGACACGTTGACCATCCAAGGGGTCTGAATTTTGTAAATTCAAAGGTCAATATAAATAAATGTTGTATTTGTTTTATTCCTAGTTGTCAATTCATAGGTGAATAAAAGATCAGATCTTGATCTGTGAAAAACTCAGGCACAAATCAGAAATGTGCGAATAAGAATCACAGATTTCACTACCGGTAATTCAATCACAAATTCATGACTATGCATTACAAATACCAATGACAAATTTAAATGTATGAAGTTCAAATTCACAAGTTTACAAGTAGTAAATCACAAATTCTTATTTGTACATTTGTCATTTATATTTGAAAAATCATTTGTGATTTGTATTTATAAGTAAGCCATTTGATCTTGTATTGTTGTGAAGTTTTTACTTGTAATTTGTGTATTTCTAACTTGATGTCACATGTATCTAAGTTGACAACAAGGAACAAACACAAATCCTACATTTATTTACATTATTTACTTTTTCATTAAGAAAACTCAGAAATCTACCCATGCGTTTTTATTAACCCTTTCATGATGTGGTATCGTTGACAGGAACACCTAGAGCGGCATTAATGGACAAACGTATCTTATAGAATTACTCTTTATTCTTCCTCTCAGTATTCATCTTTCACAATAATGTGCAGGCATTAGGATTCCCTCATGTTAATCAGATTTCTTTAGCCGTCGGGTTGTTTTATTCCTTTGAATACAGTTCTATAGTAATAATTTTTAGTTCTAATTGGCACCAGAGGGGCTGCATCTCATCTCGTCTCACTCTGACTAAATCATCTGTGTGTTGGGGAGGGCAGGGAGGGGTTGGGGGTTTATCACTGTATGCGAGGAGTTGCCTTTCAGGTTTGTGCCTGCATGACTCCTCCCTGGATACGCTGTGAGGCTCAGGGACTCCCTTTGTCTTTGAAGGCCCCTATATAATGTGATACCTGAGCCTCTTGGACTGGAACAGCTCATGCTTTATTCAGCCCTCTGATCTCTGCTTTAATTATGGCCGACCCAGGAAGAAGCCAGCAGTGGTCGGATCTCTGGTGCGAGAACTTGGTACCAGCTTTCAATTGCAGTCATGACTATAGATATTTAAAAC